AGGACTGAGCAGGGTGCACTCTGTGACTCTGTAGCGCCACTTTCGGGGCCTCTGGCCATGTCCTCACTTCGTTCGGGTGTCAGCAAGTGCTGCCCACCCCGACATCACAGCATGCAGCACAGAGAGAAATGAGCGGTTTGTCGACCTGTGCCATGCCTAAGTGTACCTATTTCTTACTTTTTGCAGCGGCAGCTAATTGGATCTGCCGCCAGTCCGCAGCAGCATAGACGCCATGGCAGCCTGGACAGTCCTGGACCCAGCTAAGGAGGCTCGTGCAGTTCTGGACGAGATGGCGAAGCACATGCTCGACGACCCCAGCATAGCCCCGCTTCAATCTCCTCCTGCTGACGTCCTGAGGACACTAATGGCAGGGAATGCGGCGGGTCAGGCGATTGGCAAGGGCAACTCCTCAGAGGTTCACGCCTGCCAATCTGATCCTCACTATGTCATCCGCACCGTGCGCCAGCAGGACGAAGTTGAATGGCAGCGCGAACTCTCGCGGCTGCGAAGAATACCCGCCCTTTCGGTCATCACCACTATCTTCGCCACGAGTGGCCGCCGCTCTTTGATGCCAAGGCTCTGGCCCGTTCCCCGCGGAGCACTTCGAACGATGGAGGTCATCAGGCTTAAGTACGACATCAGTGCGGCCTTGGAAATGCTACACAGAGCTCACATCGTACATGCGGACATTCACGCCGACAACGTGATGCTCAGGTCGAACCCGGCCTGCTTCGTCCTCATCGACTACTCAGGCTGCACCGGAGACTCGGTCTACCCCCTCCATCTTGGATACGGAGCCTTGGGCTATGGTGGCGTGACGAATCGCCCCCCGACGCTTGAGTCGCCGCCGGAGCCGATCCGGACAGCACACGGCGACTACTACCGTCTGGCTCGCACCATTCTGAAGCAGCTGCACATTGGCCCAGAACCTTCCAAGCGGAAGCACTCGGACAAGGATGCCTCCCTGCACCTGGACAAGGAGCTTCGAACATGGCTGGAGCGCGACACTTGGCCCCGCCCACCTGGCCCCACGTCTCCGTTCGCCCCGGGATCCTGGAAGGACTCAGCTATCTCCCCATCTGTCACTTTGCATGCCTCATTGTGGAAAGCCAATGGCGAGGTTAAGTATGACACGGCAACTTTCACCTCACCGGCTTCCAAAATTTGGCAACTCCAATGGCACACTGGTACCGGAGGGCGTAGCCAGCGAAGGGATGCAGGGCACGGGAAGCTGGGAGAGATCGGCTATCTCGGCGCGGTTCTTCCTGAAATGTCAGTTGAAGACTTGCGGCCGCTTTGCCCGGACCATCTACCAAGAGATCTTCCCACGGCAGGCCTATTCTAACCAAGATGGCTATCTTGTCCCCTCCAAACCCCCCCCTCCTCCCCCTGCTCCCCTCGAGCCCGCGGAGTCTTGGACTACTGCTTTGCACACTGATGGGGGCTTGGCCCACCCATCTGCAGCTCCAGCAGAACGACTGCCGGGCATATGGGGAGCCGGCCAGGACGTCTCTTCGGAGATACCGGACAGGAGTGCAATCGTCGACCAGGGAGCGCCCCCGTCTGGAGCGCAAGTCCCGGCACACGCCGTCTTTTCAGCTCCGGTGCAGAATGCAATCCGCGCTGCGGCGGCCAACCTCAGCGGTGCCATCAGCTTTGCCCAAGATATGGAGCAGTCGATGCCACCACAAACCCATCAGTCCTTGGCGCAGTCCCTGCGAACAACTTCAGACATTCTGCGGGAGGTGTCCGATGAGCTCCTCATTGCTGCCCGCAACGACGCTTCCTCAACAGTCCCGGGCTCGGCGGCTGAGGCAGACGACCAACCGATGGCACAGGACGACTAACTGCTGCATGGTCTGCAGGGTTTCCTCTTTTTCCTAGTGCTTTTCGCTTCTCTCGGCTCTAGGCTGGCTCGGAAAGCTGGCTCAACCGCACCCTGACGCCCAGTCTCGGGGCCTTGGACGAGGCCAAAAAAGAAGTCCTGCGGCCTTATCATGACTCATGTGCCGAGCGGTCAGTCAGGCTTGTCTCTTTTGCATTGGCACGTCGCAGCCTTTTCTATTTAGAGTGCCCGCCTAGCTAGTGGTTAGACACATGTGGCATCTTCGGCCGCACCCTGCTGGTCGCTCGGCCATCGACTTGGAATCTCACTCAGCTCACACGGAGGCTTGGCCAGTTGCACCAGCAGCGGAGACTCGGTCTATTAAGCGAAAACGCCCAGAGGAGCCGGGTCCCAGCTCGACCAATGCCTCCTCGACTCCTTCTGAGCTGGACAATTCCACAAGAATCTGTTGCCACGGCATTGCAGCTCTACGCCAACCCCCACGAGGCCGGCATTAAGCTCCTGCTACCTCCTCTTATGGACACCACCGACAACCCCTTCACTCTGTGTCCCATTGAGAATCTGGCAGCGAGCTGTTTGCATTCAAAGTGGGCTCCTTTTGGAATCTTCAGCCGACTTCTGGACGGCCTCCCCTCCCTACAAGATTCGAGGCACTCCTCTCCAAGCATCGAGCAGCCGTCGAACTACAAGAGCATTTTCTTCGGGGCTTACGCGCAAGGCCCGCTCGTAGGCCTTCGGGCCCCGACGAGGAGGTACCCAATGGTCAGTCGCCTGCTGAATGCGGTGATCTACACACTGTGCGGGGCCTATAGTCACTCTACGGTGTTCTTGGCCCGGAACAGGGCAATGGGACTGCACTCCGATCCCCACAATCACAAGGACGTACCGAATGTCTTGATCCCCCTCTCGGTGTTTACTGGTGGCCAGCTCTTCGCGGAATCTGAAGAGGGTGATGTCTGCCTGGACGTACAGAACAACATCAGGGGACACATTCACCCCATCACTCTTCCCTTTTTGGCGTTTGATGCCCAAAAGCGGCATTCCATTCTCCCATGGTCGGGCTGTCGCCTGATCTTGGGCTCTTTTCATGTCAGCGGTGCGGAGCGGCTACCGCAGGGCACGTGCAATATACTCCAATCACTGGGCTTCTCTCTGTACAAAGACGGTCAGGTCATCTTGGAGGAGACGACGTCAAGCGCGCCCCCAGTTGAATTTCATACGTGATATTAGACTCGGGGGCTTTGCCCGCTTTCTTTCTTCACTGCAGCGGGCCCTTGGGGCAATTGGGCGTCCGCTACACAGAGCAAACGGGACTATAGCTCCTGCGCAGCCAAAACGCCGACCAGCCAGCGGATTGTATTTTCAAGACTTTGTTAGCTCGGTCTGCGCGTGCTTCGCCTCCGGACCGGCACAGTGCCCCACCAGCTCGCCAGTAGACGAGTGCAGGCACTTGTCGGCTGCATTTGTGTTTCATGCTCTTCTAGCTGCCACTTGCCGTGCATAGCAAGGCCTTCTTAACAACGCAGGCTCAAGCTGGATACGCCACTTACGCTCTGCAGCATCATCTTCCAGCAACATGCTCCAGTCGCTTCACAGCTTTATGGGCAAGTCTAGGTTTTAAGGCATCTTTCACTTGCAACTCGTGCCTTGGTACAGATACCTGCTTGTGAATTCCAAAACATCGGGAGCTCTGCTCACCAACACAGCGGCGGAGGCTTGGCCTGCCTGCGGGCCGCTGTCCAGCAATGTCGGCTGCGCAGGCAGCCGCGATGCCGATCCTTGTCCTGAGTGACAGCACGCTCCAGTACCTCCTATGGATGGATGGCTCTGGAAAGTCATATGGGGTCGAGACGGTGGACAGAAACCCCCTGCACCAGGCGGTTATCTGCCCGGGAGCATCTCTCATTATGCCCCGCCCCGGGCCGGTGCGCACACCGCCGGTCCTTGAAGTCCTGGCGTGGCACTACATTCGCGTGTTGGGCCACGAGGACCCATTTCCAGCCGATCATGCACCTCTGATCGCGCTCCTCAAAAAGTATTACTACTCCGACGTCTACGTTCGCCTGATACCTCTTCGCCAGTCCTTACACCCCGAAAAGCAAGGAGCTTACGACTGGCTGGCGGATGTCAGGGACCAATATGGATTAGCCGCCGATGACCTTTCCGACCAAACCATCATGTCCCTACAGGGCAGCGACCGGAGCCTGGTGGATCAGCTATACTCATCAAAAGATTGCCACTTCAGGCCGTCCATTGCAGCCAAGGCCATCGGCCTGCTGTTGGGCCGGGCTCGCGCAGCGATGACGCGCAGCCGCCCCAACTCGGTTCATATTCTGGTGGTTTGCTCTTGGCATGTTAAAGGGGACTCGGTCCACCAGGAGATGCATGCTACGGCCGAGCTATGCCAGGCAAGAACTCTGCAAGAAATTGGCTCCATCGCAGCGCGCCACTCGCACAAGCCCTGGGTTCTTCGCAGGTTCTTGGAGCCAGGAGCTATGGACAGACCTATGCCCCGGACGGCCTTCCAGACCTACATTCACGACGACATGCCAGGGCCGTGTGATGTTTTCAAACAGCGCCTCGCTGATTTTCAGCGCGCTTTCTGCAACGACGAGGCCCTCCTAACCACGCTTACTTTGCACGCAGGAGACCA